TTATCTTTTAACATTAATACACAGAAGGTTATTCATGAGCATGAACGGATTTTGTTAAAAATTAGCAGACTGTAATATCTGTAATTTATTTAATCATATATATATGTGTGTGTGTGTGTGTGTGTGTGTGCGTGTGTGTGTGCGTGAGTGTGCGTATGACGGTCTCTTCCCTTGTCTTCGACGTTTGAAGTTCGAACTATTTTTGCTCCTAGAATTAAGCAGTTACAGTCAGTATAAACCGCCCGTGATTTTTGAATATAGTTTGTCCAGCTATTTAGCCCATAGCCGGAGAGAAAGGCAATATTCGTTAAGACTTTTGATGTTTCTCCTGATGCCGAATAAGATGTTACTCTTGCTATTACTCAACTTTCTACCATTTTTCCTTGAAAACAGCACCTGATGGTCGAATGTACTTGAAACATAGGGCATAATATTAGCAAGTTTCTTTACATCCAAAGCTTCTTCACAAGAAAGCTACTTGGGGGATAGACTCTAGCATAGGTGCTTTCACGAACACTACAATCTTAGCCTCGAGAACATCGTTTCTCAACTTTTTTAGTCTTGTAGAACTCTTGAAATAGTTTTTAATGTCCCAGAGAAACCCTACACAAAATGATGATATGCCATTATTAATATCTATCAGTTATATTTTTTAGTAGTTCACGTGGATAACTGATTTAAGGTAAAAATAATCCCGTTTTTTATCAAGTTTATTGGTAATGCAGTAAAAGATCATATTGTTCGTTTATGTGAGCCCACACTGAGGTTTTCCTTCACAAATATCTCTAAACACACGCACGAAGAAGGAAACATAAATAATCAATATCATTGTAATCTATATATAATACGCCCCTATATATATATATATATATATATATATATATATATATATATATATATATATATATATATATATTTCAGGAGGATAGAATCCAGGTAGAGCTCAATGTCCAGAACAGAGCAAGAATACACTAATATTCTATGGTCATAATTTATCAAATTGGAATCAATAATTACGATCCAATTCATCAGACCTATAAATTTGTAGGTCTGATGAATTGATCGTAATTACGATTCCAATGTAATAAATTATAACCATGGAATATTAGTGTTTGTGCCTTTTATACTATATTCTTGCTCTGTCCTGGACATTGAGCTCAACCTGGATTCTATCATCCTGAAATTTATATATATATATATATATATATATATATATATATATATATATATATATGTGTGTGTGTGTGTGTGTGTGTTTTTGTGTGTGTGTTTTTGTGTAACAATTAAGAAGCAGTGTACAAAATGACGATGACGGTGCCGTGCTAACTTGGTCTCGTTAACGCGTACTGATATCGCTATCGAAGAGGGTTCGTCTATATAAGACGCCACATATATCTTCAAGAACACTTTGTTGATTTTTAGAAATTCATTTTAAACTTTAAAATTGCAATTAAAAAAAAGAAGGGGATAAAAATTAAATATATATATATATATATATATATATATATATATCTGATGATACGTTGCTCTTAGTAGGACGAGAAATAAGCAGACTCTGAAATTACAGATTGAATCTTCGGACTGTCAAGGATTACTCAGACGTTCCAAGATTTACACAAAAAATATTGTGCTTTGGGAACTTTTACAGTAATCTTAATTTTGCTTATAAATATGTAACATTTATGAGAATAATATAAGGATATCTTTCCTTAGGTGTTTATAAATTGTACACTGTTCAATTATTAACTTTAACTACGAACTATTTTAAATTAAAAAATTGTAGTTGGATTAAACGAAAATTATTTAAAATAGATTACACATTACTTATAATGCATTCCTTCTTGACGTTAATTTTGACAGCATTGGTACTTTAGTTTATTATAATAACCAAAGATTTTCCAACAATATGGCGTACATTTACACTGACATTAGAATATAAAATTAAACAAGAATTACTCAGAAATGCATTAGCCTATTTATCACTGTTCCTCAACCTCTTGCATGATCCCAGGGTTCCGAGAAACACCGGTAAAAAACTGCTGTAGAGTAAATCGTGATTCCTCCGCTATATTTACTTCCTATTTCCTTTCATATTACATACCATATTCAGTAACCCCTGAGTCGCTCTTAGAATTTGTAGTGGGTGAACGTTTGTGCCTGAAAATTAAAGACTTGTACGAGTGGCGCTGAATGGTTCTAGTTTTGACCAAATAGATTTTGGTGTTTTTGGTCATTCGGTCAGGTTTAATAAGTAGTTCGAGTCGAGAATCGTTTTGATAATACCTCAGAGAGAAACGAAATAATTCGATTGGCGTAGGTAACGTAATATAAAACGATATAGGCGTAGTAGTGTATCTGTTATCCACCATGGGACGGCGGATATGATTTAATAACATGACTGATTAGATTAGAAAGATGGGTGTGCCATCTTCGAGATGACAGTTCTAGTTTTTTTTTCCGGTCAACAGTAGCAATGTACTGGATAGACATCAGGGCTACATGAAAACTGCAGTCGCTCATGAGTGATGCAACAATGCAACTGCTGGTGACTGACAACGATTTTAACTCATGGGGACATTGTATACTAATTCAGTGGTGCCACTCAAACTATCAGTAACGCATTCTATACTGTATTAAATGTTTTTTTTTTTAGTATTCTACCAACAAAGGTATCGGTTGAATTCGTTTTCGATGGAGACCGCATATACATATGGTAGTAGGGTGTTGTGTGAGATATCGATGTAAGGGGATTTCTGCAGGAGTTGGCAAGGACCACGAGTGAAACTGAGATCTCTTTTGACAGGTATGACATTGTTTTTAATAGCTTCGCCCAAGCAAGGCGACAATGCCACTAAAACGAGGGGTTTGGGGTTACAGAGACTGAAAGTGAAAGCGAATGATCAGACTGCGAATAAAGATTAGGGAAGGACAAAAATGGAGACAGCAGATAGCTATTGAGGTTGCATTCAAATTTTCAAGATTGGACTTATCAGGGAAATAAGTAAACGTAAGGGAGTTCCACAGGTTAGAGAAAAGAAACGTTTAGAGTAGAAGTGGCGGTTGCATTTTCAACAGTAAAACTGTGAGACCTAGTTGCCAATCTAGTAGCACTCTTAGATTCATGCAATCGGGGCACCAGAGAGAGAGAGAAAAAGCTCATCAGTGCAGTTGCCATTTGTAGAAAAGACAGAGGGAATCCACGTCACGTCGGTGGGAAAGTGACTCTTGTCGAGTTGCCTGGTCAGTATCGATTACATACCCGAGTCTTGTTGCTGGCCATTTGCAAACCTTTTGTTTGCCATAGTTTTTGATGTTGATGATTTGTCCAATCAATTCATTTATGAAATGTATTCATTTATCGCGCGTGGGTGACACTCCCTAAAACACTCAGCTGACTTCCAGGTACTCCATTAGCCTCCGCATTGTCATATTCAAATCTTTTTTATGCGTGGAACATGTTGCAAACCATACGAAATTTGAAAATGATAAAAACCAACAAAAGAAAATACATACAAAGATGTAAAATTCCGAAGTGAAAAACAAAAAGGAAAAAAATAAATAAATAAAAACAAATAAAGGAAATCCCAAAAAGAAAATATCGAAAAGAAACCTAAAATAAAAGTAAGCTCTCAAAAATAACTCCACATGTTTCAAGGAGCCGAGGTGATGCCATAAAATGCGCGTAATTTTTCTATCTTAATTGAAAGGAGTAAAGGAAATTCGCTGTTGAAAGTGTCGTTGAAGGATTTACAGGGACAAAATCAATTTAGGTTTTGAATTACGGTTGCTAAGGAGTTAAGCCTTTCGCTTGCAAACTTTAATTCGTCAGTAGTTCCGCTGACGACATTCGCAACAATCGTAGCACACCCACGCTTTAGGATTTCCGTTTCTCTTCCAACAACGCTGATGCATTATCTCCCTTTGAAACTATTCCATTTTTTTCTGGTTTCTTTTTCATTTAATTATTCTCCATAAATGCGATACTTTTTCTTGATTTGTTGTCTTCGTATTCACATTTGTATTCTTTCTCCAAGATCTTTTTTCGCAGGTGTTTCTTTCTTTCTTTCTTTCTTTCTTTATTTCTTTCTTTCTTTCTTTGGGATCTTATCTAAAATCGTACCATATTCGAAAAAGCTTTATTATTAGTTTCTTGCTTTCTTTCCTTTTCTCTTAAAAAATTCTCTTTCCTTTCTGTTTTTTTCTTTGACCTCATCTAATATCGTACATTATTCGAAAAATTTCCATTATTTGTTTCTTGTTTTCTTTCTTTTTCTTTTTCGAATGTTTTCTTTTCTTTCTAAGAATTTCTTTCTTTCTTTCCTTCTTTCTTCTTCACGATCTCATCTAAAATCTTGATGCATGCTCTAACCTCTTCCAAAAAAAAACAAACAACAAAAAACAAATATAGTTTCATTATTTGTTTGTTGCTTTCTTTCTCTTTCTGTAGAACTTTCTCTTCCGCTTCTGTCATTTAATTTCTTTCTTTCTTTCTTTCTTTCTTTCTTTCTTTCTTTCTTTCTTTACGGCCTCATCTAAAATCGTACAGTATTCGAAAAAAGATTTATTATTCGTTTCTTGGTTTCTTTTGTTTTCTTTTTAAAATTTCTCTTTCCATTCTGTAATTTTCTTTGTTTGTTTGTTTCTTTCTTTTTTCTTCATGAGCTCATCTAAATTCTTGATTCTTCTTCGAACCTCATCTAAAATCATACAGCATTCGAAAAAGATTTATTATTTGTTTCTTTTCTTTCGTTTTCTCTTCAAAATTTATTTCTAAATTGTTATTTTTCTTTCTTTCTTTCTTTCTTTCTTTCTTTCTTTCTTTCTTCATGATCTCATCTAAAATCTTCATTTTTCATCGAACCAAATCAAAAAGAATAAATGTTCTTGCCTTCTTTCATTTCCTCTTTAAAATGTAACTTTCCATTGTTTCTTTTTTTTTTTTTTTTCCTTTCTTTCTTCTTTTCTTTCTTCATAATCTCATCTAAAATCTTCATTTTACTTCGAACGGAATCAAAAAGAATAAAAAAAATTCATTATTTGTTTGTTGCTTTCGTTCTTTTTCTTCAAAACTTTCTCTTTCCTTTCTGTCTTTTCCTTTCTGTCTTTTCCTTTTATTGTTTCTTTCTTTCAACAGTATACGCTTTCTGTTGAATCTTTGTTCTTTCTTTCTATTACCTTTTTCCTTCTCGGCACCTTCATCAATCCAAATTCATTCTCAGAATTTTCTTTATATTCTCACATCCTTCTTCTCATTCTTATTCATAATGTAACCCTCTCTTTCTTTCACCTTCCTACATCTTCCTTTCTTTTTCCGTTCTACTCCTTTATCCTTCTCGTCATTTTCTTTATTTTCTCTCTCTCGCTCTTTTTTTTCTTTCCTGTTCTCATCTATCCTCTCAATTTGATCTTCACTTTTTTGCAATCACTCATTCTAGAGACACACCCAATCACAGCTACCATAAACAAAAAGGCAGGGAACCTCCTGCGGTTTTAAATGTCAAAACATAGCTTTTAATACATTATTCTTGATCACAGTGACTTTTTTTTTCTACTTTACCGGAAAACGTTTTTATATCGATTGAAAATCTAATGTTGATTTTGATATGAAGTTTGTTGGGAACTTCACTGAAAAATTTATGTCTTCCTTTTTTTTTTTTTAAACAAAATTCATCCAGTTTGTTAATGCAAATGTTTGCCGCACTGTTGTTTTATTAGATTTGCAAACAATCAGAAAGAAATGTCGGCTTATATTCGATTTTGCGCATGTTTCTTTGAAGTCTTTCAGGTTGAAGTTTTGGTTTTGTACTAATGTTACTAAATTATGATTTTATTATCACCTCACAATCTCGGGTTAGAGGTACGAGAATTCGGAAAATCTTCAATAGTTCGTAAACTTACAGTCAACTGACAAAGAAAGTCTTACTGCTACCATTGAACACTGTATTTGTTTAACATATTTACAGGTATCTATCTATCTATCTATCTATCTATCTATCTATCTATCTATCTATTCTCTGCTTAGAATCTATCTATCTATCTATCTATCTATCTATCTATCTATTCTCTGCTTAGAATCTATCTATCTATCTATCTATCTATCTATCTATCTATCTATTCTCTGCTTAGAATCTATCTATCTATCTATCTATCTATCTATCTATCTATCTATTCTCTGCTTAGAATATCTATCTATCTATCTATCTATCTATCTATCTATCTATCTATCTATCTATTCTCTATCTATTCTCTAGAATCTATCTATCTATCATCTATCTATCTATCTATCTATCTATTCTCTCTATTCTCTATCTTAGAATCTATCTATCTATCTATCTATTCTGCTTATCTATCTATCTATCTATCTATCTATCTATCTATCTCTCTTAAATCTATTATTTCTTTTCTTCTTTCTATTCTGCCTGTCTTTATTATTTTCTCAACTAGTTCATTCATTCATTCTTTCTTTCTTTCGTTTTTTTTTTCTTTCTTTCTTCTATCTTCTCCCTATTAGTCATTTTTTTTCCCTATCTTGCTTTCTTTTCTTCTTCTTTTTTTATTCTTCTTTCCCTATCTTCTTCTTTCTTTGTCATCTATCTTTATCTCTTTCTCTGTTGTTTTATCTTTTTTCTATCTCTCTTTCGATTTTTTTATATTTAATTTTTTAATTTTTTTATCTGAACTTTCTTATCATACTATATCCATCGAATTTATATTTCTTAGTTTCTTCTTTTTATCTTCTACATCCCTCCCCCTATCTATCTCTCCCTCCTCTCTCCCTATCTCTATCTTTCTCTCTCTCTCTCTTCTATAATCTATCTTTTCTCTCTAGCCTTCCTATCTTTCTATCCCTCTCTCTGAATCTTTTTCTCTTCCATTTATCTTCTATCTATCTTCCTTCCTCTATTCTCTCTTCCTATCTATCTCAACCAGTTATTTCTCAACCTCCGTTCTATTCTTTATCTTCGTTCTTTCTTTCTTTTTTTGTTTCTTTCTTTCCCCGTTTCTTCATTGTTTTTTCCTATCTCTTTTTTTTTTTTATTGTTCCGCCTCTTTCTTTGTCTTCATTTTCTTTCCCATTTTTTATATTTAATATTTTTTTTTATCTGGATTTTCCATTTTATTTCTTATTTCTCTTTAGTTTCTCCCTCTTTTTATATCCCCCCTCTCTCTCCCTCTCTCTCTTTCTCTCTCTCTCTCATTAAATTCTTTTCCTACAGCCTTCCTTTCTCCCCCTGTCCATTTATTTCTTCTTCCTTCCTCTTCTCTTCCTCAACCTCCCGTTCTATTCTTTATCTTCGTCTCTCTCTCTTTCTTTTCTTCCTCTCTTTTTTCTTATTTTTCTATCTTTCCCATGTATTCCTTTTTATTTTCTTTCTCTCTATATCTTTCTCTCTCTCTCTTTCTTGCCTCCGCCCTGTCCACTATTTCCTTGTTTCTATGTTCTCTCTCTCTCTATCTATCTATCTATCTATCTATCTATCTATCCTATCTATCCTTTAGTTAGAATCTATCTATCTCTAAATATGATACGACCGTATCGTCATTTATTGTGTCTAAAGTCACCACAAATCTATCCACACTTTTTCGGTGTCTTTATACATCTGATAAAAATCATATTTATCGGTATCTCACTCATTTAAACCGTTATTTAACTCCTCTCTTTAAAACTTCTCCCTGTTAAATTTTAATCCCCACCATCACCTTAAGACATTTCCTGTTCTTCTTTCTTCCATTACACCTCTCTCTAGAGCTGTCATACCTTTCCCTCTCACCAATGTTTCTCACTCTCGCACATACACTCTCACTAAAATTTTGTTTTATTTTTTATACCTGTTTTCTTTTTGAATTTGATCGTGATTACGATTCCAATGTAATAAATTATAAACATGGAATATTAGCGTTTGAACCTTTTTCATATTACACACACACACACACACACACACACACACACACACACACACACACACACACACACACACATATATATATATATATATATATATAAACTATAAAATTTCTTCCTTTCCCTTTCCCACCACCGTCCACTTCTTTCTTTTTATGTGACATGTCCTTTCATGACGTAGGCGATCATGGGTCTCCACCTACTCTATCCTTTGCAGCTCTCACCAAGGTCCTTCCCTCTGCTTCCTCCCCCAGACCACATTCCGTCATCCACCTGCTCAAGCTCGTCAGGTATGTCACGCGCTGCTTTCCCTTGTCTCTTTTTCTCTCTATTCGACCCGTGGGTATCAGATTCTCCAGGCCCTCCTTCCTCATTATGTGTCCCAGAAACTTCAGCTGCCTTTTTCTGATGTTAAGTATAAGCCTCTTCCTTGTTTACAACCACTCAAAGACGTCATCGTTGCTCACATGCTCGGTCTATGATATCCTTAGCCTCCTTCTGTAGAACCACATCTCCGTCACCTCGAGTCTCTTCTTCATCATTGAGGAAATCGTCCAACATTCGCTGCCTTAAAGGAGGACAGATGTCACGTAACAGCTCAGTATTTTTTGTTTGTTACCAAAGAAATCCTCCTGTCTCGTAATACTCTGCTCAACTTTTGGAATGTGTCCTTGGCCTTCCCAATACGTCGACGGATCTCAATGTCGCACTTACCGTCCTCTGCCAGAACGCTTCCCAGATATTTAAACTTCTGCGTCTGCTTGATTCTAGTCTACCCGACCTGCAAATCGCATTTCGGGCTCTTCCTCGTACTGATGACCATGCATTCTGTCTTCTTGTAGTTTTTGCTTAGTCCTTTTTTTCTCACTCTCCGTCGCTACCTTATGTGGGAGATTTTGTAATTTTTCTTTCGTATCTTCTATCAGTACGACATCAACTGTCCTCCACAGATGCACAGTAAAATTAAATTAAGTTTTCATTTACATTTCATCTGTTCGGTTTTGTGTGTTTTTTTATTTTTTTTACCTTAGATTTAATAATTTTCAATTGATTTTTTTTTTTTGTATGAATTGTTGTAAAGTTTAAATAAGTAATCCTCTTGGGTTCAGGAACTGATTAATCTATTTTACATTGATTCCTATTGGGGATAGAGTTTCGGTTTACGAACATTTCGTATCACGAACAGCCTTCGGGAAGAAATTAGATTCGTGAACCTATCTTCCATTGTACCTTGTTCAGCTTTTCGAAGGAATCTGTCGTTATTCCAATGCACCTTTGGTTATGTCTATCCAATTTTCCAACTAATCATTGTTATAGTTATGTTTTAAGCTTAAGACATTGCTACCATATATGGTCCGGTGCCTCTGCTATTCACTTTGAGTTCTTTGTTAATATCTAAAGAAGAATCAGCAATATTATTGATCCTGATCTGGCAGCTCGGCTTCAGTCATTTCCCATCGCCATAAGGCTGTCTCTATCAATCTATCATTTCTATAAATACTTTCTTGGTAATTGTTCGGATGAGCTCTTCTCGATTTTGTTTAGTTTCTTGTAAATAGATTTGTACTCATATCGTAAATTTTCATTGGGGCTAGGTTTTAAATTGTTGTTTTTATCCCCCACACCGCACAATGAATTGTTCATATGGGGGATAGTTAAGACTTTCATGGAAACAATAAGGTATTATGGTGGATGCAGTAAGAAAGGTAAGAAAGAATGCATTGTTTTGGTGTAAGGAATATTGTTGTATGTTTGGGTCAGTTGTTGTGGCTAGCTAAGTTTAAAGTTAAGACAGAAGAAGACCATCTTTTTCCCCCATTCCCTATTTTGGCATTGTGTCACATTTTCTGTACATAGCAGAAATAAATATCGTTCTTCTTCACTATGGTACCTAGACATTTTGAATTTACGCGCAGTATTAGACTGGTGTCGAGATCTCACCAATTTACAGCTGAGCTGTATCGATGTGTTATGGTCCAAGGTTATGACCATAGAAGAACAACACGAAACACAACAGTAAAAATAACAAAGAATATATTACACAAGAAATAATACAAGAAGTGAAAAGGTTAGTAAGACTGTCCGACTGGTCTGGCGTGACTGCTATCAGCTCGACTCGATTCACTACCGTCCCAATACCGAATCCGTTCGTCTCTCTTGAGAGGCGTAGTATGTATAGCGTTCAGCAGAGTTCATTCTGTCGGTCTACGTAAGCACCATGACAAGATGTAACCGTAAGTTCTATGCCAATAGTTTCTTTTCTCTCGGATTTCTCGCTTATGGAACTCTCTTCCGGCTCCATTCTTTTAATCTGTAAAAATTTAAATGCCATGTCAATCGCTATCTACTGCCCTCCTGATTACTCTATGCTCTTCCTGCTCATTATTAATGTTTTTGTCCCTCAATTTCCCCCCCCCCGGCGCGTCTTAGTGGCTTTACTGCTTTCCATGGGGAGATAACGATTAAAGAAAACAAGACGTAGATTTTTATTTCTCTCTGACTGTGAGCTTTTAATCGTTAATGGCAACATATTTTCTTCAAAGATTCTTCATTGCTCCAATGTCCATAATCTCTGTTGCCTCAAGTGTCTTTTTCATACGTGAGGAAATTTTCCAACATTCCCTACCATACAGGAAAATTGAAATTACATAGAAGTTCAACACTGTTTTGCTTTGTATCTCACTTGTTTATTTTTTTTTCTCTTTTTGAATACTTTGTAGCTTTTATAAGGCATCTTTCACTAATCCAATACCTTTTCGGATTTCTCTGTAACAATTTTCATTATCATTTATAAACACTTCCCAGACAGTTAAATCTACCTGCTTGATTCTAAAGCCTCCAATTCGTAGGTAGCATCTCTTGCTGTACCTCTTGTTATCGAATACCGATTGTCCTGGGTATGACGATAAACTACATCCGGCAGTAAGGCCTTTGGTTTTTGAGAAATTGGAGGTTTTTGAGGGTCCCAACTATGGGCAAATAGTGCGTGTAGTATAAAAATACAAACCAACAATACATTTTGCTTGTAGTTGGAGGCATAAATTGCTTTCAAAAGGCACAAAATTTGTTCAAAATTTTCGACCGGCATTAAATAACCCTCAGGGTTGTCGCTAAACAAAGCACTTGTTAGGGTCCCAATATTAATCCATATTATATCCAAATAGTGTGTATTCCCAAAAAAACAAAAGCAACATAAAATAAAATTAGGGTTCATAAAAATACATTTTTATAGTAAAATTAGTCAATGCAACAAAAATATGAAAATATATTTTTGATGTTAAAATTAACTTTTGTATGTCAACGAATTGTTGCCAGGCATACAATTGTCACTTTCACAAATAGTAGCACAAAATTGTGTTCAAAATATTTCAGATAACCTCGATTTCGCACTAAATAGGCATTAAATAAAGTAATGATCGAATAGAAAATAGTATAGTTGATATGTCCGTATAAACAAAATGTCAATTAGCGTCACCCAAATTTTTTCTAGATAGTATAAAGGAATCCCCGTTTTGATGTTCAAACTCAAGATTTCGGCAACGAATTTATTCCTATATAACAAATATATCCTTCACAATATCTCAAATAAATATAAATATATATTCCAAAAAAACATAACTTTGTCAAATTAACAAAGTGTCAAATTGTAAAAATCATAAAATGACGTACAAAATGTTTTAGATTTCGGCATTAACTACCCTATAGATGTTGATGTGCCGCTAAACAAAATCAACCAACGACCAGCCAACAATCGACCATACATTCCACTATCTGAAAATTGATGATTAGTCATTTTGCTTCTTTAAAAAACTAGTTATCTAGATATTTCTGAAGTTTTCGTTCTGATGTCATTTATGTATCTTATTTTACGATATTAACATAGTGCTTTACTAGTTTAGATGTGGCACAAGGTGAAAAGTAGGAAGAACACGGTGAGAATCGAACTCTTTACTCAGTTGTAACTGATCGAGCGAAACAAGCTTGCTAACCACTGCACAACGTCGAAATGCACTACGGTATTAATCTATACAGGATGATTGAAAAGTAACTTCCTATTTTGTGTATGATGAACTCTCACGTCTTGTAAAAATTACAGTTAGATGGAAGAGTCCATCATTCATAAAATAGGTACATACTTTTCAATCTCCTTGTTGGTACTTAAAATCAATTTTTGAGCTCTTGCCGTTGAGTAATGGTTAACACACTGACTTCGCAAAGCTGACTTCTGAACATTTTCCATGGAAATAGCGATAGAGTAGTGAAAGGCTTGTAACTTTGCGTCTGTGGGGAAAGGGGCTGTAAAGTGGAAAATATATCATCACCTGCAAGGCCGCGTAAACGATTTTGAACTCAAAACTAGAAAGTGATGATTGAGCAACTGCAGCCAAAGCACGGGTCTTATTGAGTGTGGGGGAAGCTCATACTAGATTATTATGTGGATTCGAGAAAGCTAAAAAGTATTCCCAATATAAACTAGTGGCAATTATATCTTCCCTTCACGCCATTTCGGATAGCGGGGTGAAATATGTTATAATACAGGTGTTTCGTAAAATGAAGTGGCGTAAAGAGAACTTCCGAAAAGCTCGGAAACCTCCAG